ACCTGGTTCAGGTCCACGGTGGGGGCGGCGTCCACCTCCACGTTGAGGCGGTCTCCGATCTGGCAGCGCAGGGTGTTGACTTCCTGATGGAGAAAAGGGAAGGAATAAACCCACGGGGGAAAAAAAGTCGATAAATAACCTCTTTGTGGGAGTCCCACGCAGAGGGAAGAGGATTGCATTGGAATTTAGGAAACATGAGTTTAAACCCAGTTGAAGTCACCCAGCTGAGTCACCCCTGGAGATTCAGGCCCCCTCTGAGTCTGTGTCCTCATCTGAATAATGAGCTGCTTGACTAAATGCTAATATTTCTTCCCACTCTAGGGTTCTATCATTCCTTTCTGATTTCCCCTTTGCTCAGTGATAAGCCTGGCACGATAATTGGTTTGTATGTGTAGCTACTTAACTATAAGAAACCAGGTTTAACTTCCCTCAGTCATTTCACATCTTCTACTTTTATATACTGTCTATCAAAGGTATGAAAACACCTCATGATAATATCTAATGTTTGAAATACATATCTGATTTTCTAGTACTACATTCACCATAAGAGCTGAATCAACCATTAGTCAAGTTCTTTCATTTCTCCCGTTTTTCCCATCCTTCCATCCGTCCATCCATCCATCAGTCCATCCATCCATCCATCCATCCATCCACCAGTCCATCCACCTGCCCACCCATTTATCCAGCCTGGGCTCTAGTTATCTAGGTGAAACAGAGTATGTGGATGTTTGCTGTCTCCTTCCAGTCTTGGCAATTAATTTGGCACCTATTCAGAAAATAATAGATCTTATCAAATAGCAAAAGATATTTTAAAGATCTTTGCGTGGCCTTTTGGTCACACGTACCTGTCCCCAAGTGGAAATAGTTCAGCTGACCACATTCATTTGTGTAAAAGAGACAAGCTGTAACAGATTCTCTAGCAAGCCCCAAAGCATGCTTTGATCAACCAGTAAAATATTGCCTAAACACTGAGGAACTCAAGAGTAGGTGCTTACCCTACTCAGGGGAGTCATGGAGCTCCCAGTATCGGGGTGTTGGGGGCTGGAACCCGATTACCTGCTCATGATTCTGCTTGAGGGTCAGCAGCTCCTCCCTCAGGGACTCCACCTGGGCCTCCAGGTCAGACCTGCACAGGGTCAGCTCGTCCAGGATCCTGCGCAGGCTGTTGATGTCCGA